ACTACGGTAGAGCGCTACTGGACTGTGTCTTCATGGCCTTCATCACCCAACGACAGCGCAACTGAATTGTGTTTTCATCCCTATGCTCTGGTTCCGCTGATTGCCAGGGGCCATTTGTTGGCCGCGAACCAGACGGGCCCCGTCATCGTGCACATGTTCGCCATAATTCCCCCATGTGCCGACTCTCTCAAGACTGTGGAGATGGGAGTTTTTGGGCTCCGCCTTCCCGCTTCTTCTAGGTATCGTTGCTACGACGGAGGTGGTGGAGGCTGCGACTGGTGTGGAGATTGCCGGTATGGTGGGCGGGTTCCCTCGGAAGGCAAGGCTGGCATGGAGCGCAGAGAGGTTATGGGCAAGAATGTCACAATCTACAAGGAGCAAGCAGCCACGGCCTGGGACAAGTACGCTGATAAGAACGTGAAGGTGCTGGTCGTTGCGAATCCGGCGAAGAGGAAGGCCGTCATTCTGAAAGAATACGCACCGTCGATTCCTGCTAAGAATGTGACTTGCTGGACGAGATTGGACCATAACTGGGCGCTTGCGCAGATAGATGCCGCAGATGCAGATTGCGCAGCGCGCGGGCGCTTGCGCAGATTGCGCGCGTTGGCGCTTGCGCAGATTGCGCGCGTTGGCGCTTGCGCAGATCGCGCAGATTGCGCAGCGCGAGGGCGCTTGCGCAGATCGTGCAGATTACGCAGCGCGCGGGCGCTTACGATGTTCTTTATAAGAAAAAATTAAACAAATAAATACCTTTTGTACAATTCAGAAATCAATTATTTTGAATCTTTGTAAAAACTAGGAGATTGATATGTCAAATGTTGGAACAACTGGAAGAATACCTCTCTGGCTAATAGCAACAGTTGGAGGAATTCCAGATCGCGCAGATTGTGCAGCGTGCGGGCGCTTGCGCAGATAGATGGTGCAGATGCAGATTGCGCAGCGCGCCGGCGCTTGCGCAGATGGCGCAGACTGCGCAGCGCTCGGAGGTTTGCGCAGAGAGATGGCGCAGATGCAGATTGCGCAGCGCGCGGGCGCTTGCGCAGATTGCGCAGCACGCAGGCGCTTGCGCAGATCGCGCAGATTGCGCAGATAGATGGCGCAGATGCAGATTGCGCAGCACGCGGGGGCTTGCGCAGATTGCGCAGCGCCTGTCATCAAGGGTAAGAACGTGAGCATCTGGGGCAGCCGCTCCTCCAAGCGCAGTATCCCGACGTCAACCACGGCGTTGTAGAACGACTCCCGAAGGTGTCGAGAAACCCATCTGCACGGAGGTCATTAACAGAAACCCATCGGCACGGAGGTCATTAACAGAAACCCATCGGCACGGAGGTCATTAACGACGACGAATGGTTGAACGGGGCGTTCATCAAGACCGTCCAGCAGCGGGGAGCTGAGATCATCAAGGCCAGGAAATTCTCCAGCGCTCTGTCGGCTGCAAGCGCTGCCTGCTGCAACGACGTGGACAATTGGCTGAAAGGAACACCGGAGGGTACTTGGGTTTCCCTGGGAGTTTACTCCGACGGATCGTACGGCGTGCCTGCGGGTCTCATCTACTCCTCCTTCCCTGTCACCTGTAAGAGCGCCGACTGGGAAATCGTCCAAGGTCTTTCGATTGACGACTTTTCGAGGGGTAAGATGGACGCCACTGCGCCCGAGCTTTTGGACGACAAGAATCTCGCCGCCGATTCCATCATCACAGGCACTTAGGAAAGGCGGGCACCCTGACTGTAGACACAATCCAGTAGCGCTGTAGTTGGTGGATGAAGACACAATTCAGAACCGCACTAGTATTGACCGGCCGGCAGCTCCAGTGACGAGGACGCCAATAGGTTCAGCCATGGTGATATCGAACGAACACGCAACGGTAGTGCCAAGGTCAAGAGTGAATAGCTAGCTTGCTATGGCGACGGGGGATGACTTTCTCCTGCCAGATACGACTATTATGATGCTTGGCGACTGTGAACTTTCTCCGCCTAAACTGAACAAGTTTTGCCTAACGGTCACATCGAAATTCTTTAACAAATTTAAAATAAAAATTGAAAAAAAAAATCAATTTTATTTTTTAATTAAGTTGAATTCTTTTTGGCCCGGCCGGGCAAGTGGACCCGGGCCACTCTGGTAGCCTAGTAATAATAAAAAGAAATGAATCGCAGCGAGTATTCAGAGACGCTTTACTACCATTTCGCCTTTGATTAAAAAAAAAGAAAAAAAGAAAAAAAAAATTGCAGCGAGCTTATTCCGACAAGCTTTATTACCCATTTACCCTGTGATTAAAAAAAAAAATTAAAAAAAATGCTTTATTAGTACGGAAAGGCCCTGCGCAACCGTTTCTCTGAAACTTCACCGCCCCCTCC